CTGCTCTCCAGCAGGTCCACCCCAAGCCTGTACTGGTGCATGGGGTTGTTCCTCCCCAGGTGCAGGACCCTGCACTTGCCTTTGTTGAACCTCATCAGGTTCCTCTCTGCCCAACTTTCCAGCCTGTCCAGGTCACGCTGAATGGCAGCACACCCTTCTGGTGTATCCACCACACCGCCCAGTTTGGTGTCATCAGCAAACTTGCTGAGGGTACATTCTAACTCTTCATCCAGGTCGTTGATGAAGTTAAACAAGACTGGGCCCAGTACTGACCCCTGGGGGACACCACTAGTTACCGGCCTCCAACTAGACTCAGCGCCGCTGATGACAACCCTCTGAGTTCTGCCATTCAGCCAGTTCTCAATCCACTTCACCGACCACTCATCCAGCCCATACTTCCTGAGCTTCCCTAGGAGGATATTATGGGAGAGTGTGTCGAAAGCCTTGCTGAAGTCGAGGTAGACAACATCTATGGCTCTCCCTTCATCTACCCAGCCAGTCATGTCATCATAGAAAGCTATCAGATTGGTCGGGCTGATTTCCCTTTGGTGAATCCATGCTGACTACTCCTGATAACCTCCTTTTCCTCCACTTGCTTGTTGATGACCTTAATAGATCTGTTCAGTGATTCGTAACTCAACATATTAGGAGGTGTTAGCACACATGAAGCATAGTCCATATGAAGCACAAAACATGGATGAATGAGCTTTGCCAGATCTGACCTAACTTCAAACCAACTTTCAAGTTTTTCTTACTGCAGGTTCAGATGGCTCCTTTGTTGGTTTCAGACTAGCTCAGATGATCAGTATTGTGTATGCAATGGGTTGTTCCTGTAGAAAATATGTATCCCAGAAGCCTTTTTATCATTATCAGGACCTTTAAGTCATTCACCCTGACATTCACCCGTGCACCACGCACACCTTAGTCCTTTGCCTCTTCTCTTCATGGTGCTGCTGTAGCTAGGAAGCAATGCCCAAGTCAGACCATTTTCCACCAGCACCAAGCAGTGAAAGGAGGCAGGTGAGGAACTGGGTAGTGCCTAGCCCTTGAGTTAGCCACATCACGGTTTCCCAAGACCTACCTCTGCTATTCAGTAACTTTTGCAAAGCAAGACAGGCAGCAGCCACTTTCTGGGACTCTGTCCAGCATACCTACAGCAGGACAGGCCATTTCTCCCATGGGAGCAGGGAGACTCCTGGAGTCTGGATAGGAGCCTGGCATTAAAGCACAGGGGCATGCAGGGTAGGGAGGGCAGGGAAATCAGGTCACACATATTCCCTGTCCAAGATAGAGAGAGGCTGAGGGGAAGCACCTTTGCTGTCCTCACTCAAAGACTGAATGCTCTGTAATTCCATACGTAACTGCTGAACACCTGAAAGGACAGGCTATTCTTTCCATTGGGACTGTGCATTAAGACTCTTGTGTACCTTGCTGTGTACCTCAGGCTGTACGGTGCTACTGCATTGATAATTGTGCCAAAACAGTACTCAGCATAAGGAGGCGATTTTAAAAAAGGCACATGTGTCTAACGAATATTTAAAAACACACCAGAGGCTTTTGATGCTACAAAAAAAAAATCTCAGGAATGTAACCCAGGAACCTGAAGTAAACATGGTCTGCTGTGTTCCTTCTCATTCTTAAAGTAAGCATGCCACACTTTCCTTAGTTACCACAAAACACCAGAAGGGATGTACCTCTGAGACCCACTAATTTGGCTTCTAACTCAAAGTAGAAGAATAGCAGTGCTCAAGGCTGGCAACTCTCGCCTGAGATACTATTCAAAGAAAAGGCTCTGCAGCCTTTCCCTGCCTGGCAGAACAGGCTTCTAGCCCATTTAAAGATTCAGACTGGATGGGATCTGAGCTTTAGAGTTTGGCTGAGGGTTTCTTGTAGTCCTTGTCTCCTGGCACTGTTTTGACTCTAGTCTCACAACTTGAGTGAGAACTGGCAAGCGTATCTGTATGCCTTTAACATTTTTTCACATGCACCAGCTGCAGCTCTGGCTGCCGTATTCATCAATGGGCATTCCCATTCCGAGGTCTGAGGTACAGTCATTTGTTAGGCAAACTGGCTGGGAAGGTTTCAAGCAGGCATGCGCCAACATCAGCCTTAATGCCAAAGGAGGGTTTGTAGATGAGGAAGCCACCATAGCTGTCAAAGCCTAGGGTGCAGCAGGTGTGCTGTGCCCCTGTCCTGAATGTCCTGATTTTGACAAACAAAAGGTAATAGTAGAACTGGCAGTGGTCTAGAGAGAGGGCCAAGGGTGATTAAAGGTGTTGGCTGGTTTCCCTAGAAGGAAAAATTGAATAAATGAGTACATTACAGCTTGGAAAAGAGATACTGAATGAAGGGCAATAACAATAACCACTGTTTTTCCCTAACAGTAGAACGTATGGAAAACATAAAAATATTGCGTGGCAGGTCTACAACACAAGCAGATTTACTACAGGGAGGCTCACAGGATCATTTAGTTTTGCTTTTGGCATTGTTAAATACTCATGAAGGAGAAGACACCTTGCTTCTGGAGTGATGTGGCTCACTGCATGCTGAGGAAAAGCAGGAACCTGAACCTTACCTTTTTAGATCAGTCTTGTACCTATTAGGATATTAGAAAAGGTTTTCCTACAGCTGTGTTTTAAAAGGAAGCAGCCACAACTGTCCTCTGTGAAAAAAGTAATCCTGAAAAGGCTGAAGCCATGTTAACTCCTGAATCAAGTTTCTTGAAGGACTTGGATTGAATCCTAGCACCAAATTTAATTCCTGAAACCAAATCTTGATATCAACATGAATTATACACATTGCAGCTCAAAGGTCTTAATAGAAGAATAGGTCTTAGTTGGTAAAGAGACAAAAATTTAGGCAGCAAAGTACTTTTTTGTATCAAAAACTTTACTACCTTTGAAGTTAAAAGCAAGTGAAAGTGAGGTAAGTGACAAGATGAGAACGGTGTCTCTGTCATGTAGTGGTTTAGAGAGCATCTCTCTCACGTGTTCTGAATACTCAGAAGAGGTAAATAAATTTTCTAACAGAACCAAGAAACTGTGAATCACATGGGAAAAGGAGAGCAGGCAATTCCTTACTGAAGGTACTAATTTTCTTTGTAAATGAATCACTCAGTCCATCACCATAGTGGCTATCATATCCAGATTAAACTTTCATTTAATTTCCAGAACTCTGCAGACCTCAGCTGGGGAATAAATCTTGTCTCACTCAGCTTTAGCAGAGCAAGTGCCTTTCATTCATATTGAACCAGACTGACAAGTTAGAACCATGGTCAATGCAACAGAGCACCACCGACAGATACGACACAACCCCATAGCTGTTGCTAAGGATATACAGAACAGCCACAGTTAGAAGAGCTGTTGTCTTTCTTTCATCTGCCAAAATCAGTGGATTAAAATCAGTCAGAGAATCACTTACTAGATAGCTATGTTCATGAGAGTAATCCCAAAGAGTAACTACAAATGAATGTAAACATTTACCAATTCTAGAGCATTTTTGCTATTTCCTGTTCAGCTCTCCCTATTCCAATTGTTTAAAAATCTATCACTCACTGACTGCATTTATCTTGCTAGTTTTGTTCTCTCCTGTCTCTTGTCTACTGCTCTCTTCTTGGTTTCGGAAATAAGAAGCAATGCACATTGGCTATAAAGCTGGTCTGTGCCACCTTCATATCAATCAGAGTCAGCCCGGACAAGGTATCCATAGAACACTACTATGATTCCTTATATTTCTCACTGTAACAAATAGTGTTGCGTTTATTTGCCACATCAGTTTCCATAATGTAATCAAGCCTATTTTGTCACTAGGTCTGATGTGACACTTTACAGTACATAACAACCTCTTATCACACCAAAGACTTATCATCATTATTTTGTACTATATCATGTTTCTTTTTCTTGCATTTTTTAACTGATAAATTAACAGTAGCTCCTTAAATTTCTGAAAATGCAATTTATCTTTTCTCATGTCGTCTCCTGGTCTGAAAGGAAGACAGTTTGTGAAGGGCAGAAGAGTGAAAAGAGGCTGTCGTTCCTGATGCAGAAATTTACTCTCATTCCTGGCTCTAGAGGCAAGGACCTGCTTTCAGCGTTGAAGGAAATTATCAGCCACCTGGGTAGCATAAACACTTGCAACTGCTAATCACAATCAGTTCTCACTCCCTTGCCTTAAGAAAACTTGCCTGCTTTAACTCCTGCCATCCAACACTTTGCAGGCTCCTTGCAGTCTTGCTTTTGAAGGCCTCTAGCAGGTCATGACTCACTGTTTGAGAAACACTCCTACAGATCATAAATTTGCAAGCAATATAATTACTATTGCTGTGACTATTTGCCAATTGTAACAGAAGTGTGTTCCCCAGCATGGGCAGAAGATAAAAATATTTAGCTGACTGTGAAGAAACTTTTCGCTATCCTACACTGTTAAAGAGAGAAGGGATGCGGACACAGTTGTCTGATAAGCAATGACAGTATAGAACATCTCTTTTACAGATGCTGGTCACAACATTTATTTACATTGTTTAGTGTTTTTGTGTAATGGTGTACATACATACTCTGCCTTGGAAAAATACTGTCTCTGGTATTAGGATTACTGTCACTGTCACTCCAGAAATCTGTGTACCACTATGATAGCATTAGCCAACAGTACTTGTCACTGGGTACTTACTTTCTGGCAGCTCTCGATGAATTCATCTATGGTAACTACTCCATCTTTGTTTTTGTCCATTTTCTGTTCAGAAAGAATAAGAATGTATGTTTATCTTCCTGAAATCCTGTGTAAAACAAGTCCCTTTCATTATTCATTTCAGTTATGTGTCAACCTAGGAACAACCAGGCCAAAATCCATAAAGATGTAGTAAGTGATACATTAGAGTAAGCTCAAGGAGCTTATTGTTGAAAAAACAAGGTGCAATGAGTAGATCTGCAAAACTTGGGATGGAACCACAGAGAAGAAAAAGGATTACAGAGTTGGTAGGATATGCAAAACCATTGCAAAGATGAAAATCTTTCCATACCTGCTACCAGAGCAGTCTTTTTGGCTCCCTATGTTGCCCGACCCACCTGGAAAAATGTTTCCACATGTTGTCTAGGCGCATCCTCTTTGAGAACAGGATAGGTGCATTTCCCCATCATATCATATATTGCTTTCATGATATCAAGCATTTCCTGAAGAGAAACAAAAAAATGTCTGGGTAATGTAAGGTGTGTTGTAGACACTGCTTTAATTCAGAACATGTAAACGATTTTTAGGATTTACATGTTAGAAAAAAATTTTGAGATTGTGCCTGTTATTTTATGACTGAACAACTTCAGGAAGGAACTACTATGTTCCTAGAAATTCTAGCATGTTAGTTCAGCTCTCATAGATGAACATGTTAGACACAGCTGTATGATTTTGATTTAAAAGATTTAGACTATATGCAAGTTCCTGGATTGTGGGGAGAATGTCCTGAGGTCTTGTGAATAAAGCTAAACGGAAAAGAAGTTCTGTAACAGCAAGTGAATGGTCAAAGCACATCTGCTTCTTACAGCTGAGTTTTCCCTAGAGAAAATAGAAACACCCATGCACATACCTGCACATATGCAAAGACTCCTCCTGTTATATCAAAAGCTTTGAGTTTTGTTAACAGAGTGGCTTGTGAAAACTATACGAATAATTATAAAAACAAGTCATCTGCCAGTATGCTGAGAAATTATTCTATAGATCACCCTTTTATAATAATCATAAAGTGTTTTTCTAAAAGTGCAAAATGATAAGGATAATATATATTTACATAAAGACCCAGTTTTGAAAACCCATATATTTTTATGAAAGCACTCATTCGATCCCACTGTAATTTATGTGTTTGAATCCTTGCAAAATAAAAGATGTAGGAATCTTTTTATATAAATTGTGTTTCAAGTAAAAAATTTTAGAAGTAGATTCATAAAATGATTAACAATTATGGCACATGTACTTAATTCTTTCTTGTCCAAATATCTTACCAAACTACTTTATTCTCGTGACTGTATGTGCAGATACATAGGCAGCAGTTGAAGCCAAACTTTTCTGTATCTGAAGAGTTCTGCCCTTTTCCAATTTCTCTGAAGATTTTCCCTTTTCAATTTTTGTATAGGCCTTTAAAATTAGAAAATTACTTTATTTTTAGCATGTCTAGTTTCATAATATATGTTTATTTGTTAACATGTTCAATTTCACAATTAAGCCATTCTTCTCTGAAAGCAAGACTTACATACACAACCTTTAGTTTCAGTGATTAGTGTAAAAAGTAGACCTTACCTCTTTAGTTATATATCCATCCTTATTTATATCATACAAATTGAAGGCCCAGTTCAGTTTCTCCTGTACTGTCCCTCGGAGTAAAATTGAGAGACCCGTAACAAAATCCTAAACAGATAAAAGTTCTTGGTCAGTTTGGAATTGAGCATTTTTTCACAAACACTCAGAAATCCAGAACTATGCATTCGTCAGAAGTACAGAAGTCTGGAAAGATGTGTTGTTTCTATTTTTTTTTTCTTCATGTTGAGTACTGCTGGTTTTTTTTAAATAATTAACATTCCAGGCATTTTGCTACACCCATAATTAGTAAGTAAATTGAGTAATTTTCTATAAAATAACCCCTAATTTTCTGTTAGTAGATTTATCCTCTGAAATGCCTCACATAAGCAGTTCCTGTTGAACTTAATATCACAGAAAAGAAATCACCATGGTTTAATGGTCAAAAAAACCCACTTAAGTGGGACTTAGATTAATCTAAGCACAGGAGACCAATTTTGGGAGAACTATCTACTAAGAAACATTAAATTCTTGTTAAATCTACACCTTGTTGGAAGTAGAATATGTGATTCCCATACCTCTTAGGTCACTCTGCTGCAGTCAACATTTGAAATTTCATATATGCTGCAGTTAACCTCGAAACTTAAACATTTTATTGGAAATAAGATAAGGAGTAATATTTGTTAATATGTCCGTGAACCACCTTCATGCTTTTATGACCCACCAAAGCTCTACTGCTGTAAAACTACTCCACAGAAATAAATCAGAAGACTTCTGAGATTATTTATATGTAGTATTTCATTATAGATTTTTGTTTCATAATTAATACCCTTTTGACAGTATAAACCTCATTTCCATTTAGTAAGCATCTTCCAGATTGGAGAAAATATCAACTGGGATGTGTAATCACCTGTCTTCTGTATTTCTTAGCGTGTTAACTTTTTTTAAACAATGGGGTTTTTTTTCCTAACAACTGTCCTCTCCATTTGATATTGATTTTTATTGATTGTATTTGATAAACTTCTAAACGCATAAATCTGTGAAACTGTCTCTGTAATAGGTTGAGCAGAATATGGCAAGAACTTATATTTAAATGTGCATTTCTACGTCATTGGCAAAGACATACAGGAATTCTTAGAGTAACATTAAAGCAGAAACAATAAAAGCTGAAAAATTGCTTATCAGAACCAACAAAATTGATGCATAAAACAGGAACAACGGAAAAGACTGCACTGAGGTTAGATATAAATTACAAAGGTCTGATGTACCACACAGTCAAATTAGTATACACAATACATGAAGCATACACAGATATCGTGGCCTCAGACGGTTGAGTAGGCACAGACAGCTCTTTTGACAGCTTCAGTCTTTTTAACAATCCAGGTGGTATGCTGTGGGTTTTCTTTGTCATAAATTTCTGTGTTATTGTTATACGTGCCCTTTGGGACGAATGGATACATGAATCCTGAAAGACTTTTTCTCAGCTTGTCTTGACTACATCTCCATGAATAATTGAGGGTCACAGGGTTAAATCTCCAAACAGCTCTTTAACAGTGTACTATTAAGTATTAAAATGTTCACAAAATTCAGAACAGATTTGATCACAGTACAGCATGAGCAATTAACCTTTTTAATTCAGTACCATTTCTTCACAACTTTTCTGCACTGTTTTATATTCTTGATATAGTTTTTCCTTTGCAAAGGTCTCCAGTAACTTTATTGTCTTAGAGTATTGTATTTCAGAACTCTGAATTTAATTTCACACCAGCAACATTTTTGCATTTATTCTATCTATCTTTATTCTATCCATCTAAACCATATTTATTTTTCTTTTCCTGATTATTTCTCTTCCTTTCTTTGATGCACTGCCTATATGTTAGCTGGCTTCCTGGCATCATTTATATCCCCATTTGCAATACTACCCTTCATATCATCAGTGTGAGAAACCATGCATCAAAAAAACTTGACTTTATGCTGTTTTGCATAGGACTGAGTGTCTTTATAAAAGCTGAGACAACTTAAAACCTTCTAGATGTGTGCTCTAAACTTTGCATATAGCATCAACATGTTTGGAAATCATACAGAGCTCAGTTTGCACACATTGCCTTTGTTGGAGTGTTGTGCAGGAGCCCAACTCAGGAACAATAGAAAGGACTTATCACAGGAAGAAGTTGTGATGACTTGAATAAGGACCAGTTAGGATGAGATATCTTTTCTATATACTTACTTTCATGCAATTTAAGAATTTAGCAATAAAATCATATAGAAATGGAAAATCTGATTCAATGGACCTAGGCTAAATCCACAGGGTATTTTGGACTAGATCCTCAAAGAGAAAAAAAGCTCTGCATGGTGGAAGGTGATGTGTGTGTCAGGAGCGTTATAGCTACACTAGCTGTTAAGCTAGTAATCCAGTGCAGAATGCCATAGTAAAGCAATGGTACTTAGGGTAGCTGCTAAACTCAGAGAGCATCTGTCTCTATGCTTGTTACCAACAACTTGGTGATGCTTGACTCAGGCACACCATTTAGCACAGAGAATGAGCCCAAGTCCCCATTAAAGTATTAATGTACTCATATGTGCTTTCCTTCCTGGTTTAGGCATCTGATTTCTGGAGAGAGAGGGATTCTACTTTTAGAGGCTATTTATTTTTGAAGCAAGTTTCACAGTACTGCTTGGACTCTTGCATCCCCTCAGGATGCCAGGACTGTCCACTGAGAGGGACAGTCCTGCTCAGCTGAGCACCTAATCAGGAGAGGTGCATCTGATCTAGGGTCACAAAGGAGCCAAAAACTCCGCAGGAGGTCTGGGCTCAGACACAACTCTAGGTCAGGTCTCTCTTCAGTCTGTGACAGCAGAGTTAGAAGCATAGAAGTCTGTGCTTGGTACTTGCCTCTACTCCTTTCCACTGCTTCCTCTCTGTAACTTGCTAGCTTCCTGTTGAGTGTGCTAATACCTGTGAAGACCTTCAATAAATGCCAAACTCTCCTGTGCCTAACTTTGATTCTGCAAAAGAGAGGGATGTCCCACTGAAGAGTTCCAAAATGGAGCATCATGGAACCTGTGTTGGAGCCTCTGTGTGCTCAGGATCACAGCCTGCCCACGCTTCAGTTCTGCACTACAGATGTACAGAGACTCTGGTTGTGATCTGGGATTAACTCGTATTTGGGGGTTTTCCCAGCAGTGATTAATTATCTTTGTTGATGATTTTCGGATTGCTTTATCCCTCAGTAAATCTTTGGGGACAACTAGTTCATTAATAAATCAATTAACAAGCTTAATAGTGTGCTGTCTCAAATCCATAGGAAAGCTTAAAATTAGTCCACCTGATCATGTGTTCCTTTATGTCTTGTTCAAGGCCAGAAGAAGTAGGCAGGCAGGCACCTAAATCCATTTCTGGATTTAGACCTTAGGATTTTGGAAAGGAATCAAGTGACAAATGTTAGTCACAGAGATGGTGAGGCCCTGCTGCTCATAAAACAAAGATCACCAAGGAGAAGCTGCTGTTAAAAGGAAATATATTCCTTTGTAGCTACTTTGCACCAGCTGGTATTAAAATGCTTATGAGATCACCACTGTCCTGTGAAAAATTATCTCATTTTCTACATGACATGAACAAGGTTTTTTCTGTTGAACACGGAGAATCACATTTAGATATGTTCATTAAACTGCTAGCCTCCTATTACTGCTTTGGAGACAATGACTGTTTATCTCTGTTTTCATTAGTGAAACACCAAAGTTGTGTTTGATCTTAAGATCTGGACTGTCCAATGGAACTGAATTAACATGCTTGTTAATTTGTTAATTAATGCAAAATTCTCAGGTAACAATTGAGGAATGAAGCAATCAGAAAATCACCAACAACTTTGCTTTAGAATTATTAAGATTTTTTTTGAGAAACAAATACAAGTTTGGTTTTGATTAAAAATGACAAAAATCTTTAAATATCTCCATTGTATTTGGGCATGGCGTTGTTTGTTAAAGCACTGAGAATTAGTAGGATTACAGAGTGACTTTCCTCTCATCAAGCTCACATTCAGAATAGCCTTAATCTGCATCTTCAACAAACTAAGGATACTGATTGGGATATTTGAAATGGGTGCAGTGTGCTTTACCTTTCACTGCATGTCTGAAGTTAATTAGCTTCGATTTTCCTGACTGTGTAAATAGCCTTGAGGCCCAGATCTTCATTTTGGTTCAGCTACAATATTCATGCAGCAAGTCAAAACCTTGCTTTCACATCTGTTTCTGTCTGACAGAAAAAAGAACTTCAGTTCACTAACATGCCCAAAGACCCCCTAGGTCACTAGGTTTTCTGAAGCTCTGTTTGTTGCTCAGGTTAAAGCAAAACTGGTTGGCATAACTAATGAAATAACTTAGTCTCAAAATTGATACAATCATGGGATAAGCAGAGATAGGTTCAAGCAGCTGGTTTCATGAGCTTTTTTTTTTATTCTACATAAAATGCTTCAGTTGGAGAGCCTGACTCCTATCAGAGAGTACACAGATCGAGGGATGACAAAACTCTAAGGATATAGCAATCTCACCCAATGAAGGTGTGCATTTAAGATGTGCTAAAGTCTAACACTTTACCATTGATGGTTGAAAATGTGAGGAAAAAAGAGCAAAAAGCTGGGAAAATTCTATTTTTCTTCTTCCCACAACTCCAGCTACCACTGCTTCATTAGAAGGAGAGTGCAACACAAAAAATGTCATTCTTACCTACATTCTTTCAGTACCATTTCAGATTTTCATATCTTTTTTTACATAGAAGAGAGCCAAAGAGTGTTTTTCATTATAGGTCATTATATGAAATTGCATTTACTGCTACACTTTGACATAGAAAGTAAATTTACTCTCCAAATTTTTAAATTAATCCCTTTTTCTCTACCTTTTCTGCTGTTTGGTTTGTTGGTTTTTTTTTTCCCCGATGGGAATTAGAAGACTAGAGTATGTATTGGTATAGAATGAATATGGCACAGTTGCACCTAGGATAAAAAGGAGCAGGAAAAAAATTATAGGATTGTATTTTTCACGTGTCACAATATCTACTTTCATGTTTTGCAGCTGCTTTCATAGGATTAGAAAAAAGCCTAAACTTTTTTAACATAAGGAGTATGCTTTCAGAATGGCTGTCACACAGTTTGTAAATACAATACTATTACATGGTACAAGGCTACAGAAGCAAGAGTCTTTTGACAGCAGTAGTTATGCTGGAATCACAATTAGTGCAAATAATACCAAAGTCTGAATCACTCAGACGTCAGATATTGAACAAAAGTAAGCTGGAAACGTCTGGTTCAGCAATGAAAAAACACTGCTTCTTTTATTTTCCTGATTTATTTTATTCCAAAGCCTTTTTTGTACACAGACCTGCACTTTGAGATATTCAAATCCCTTAGAAAGGGTTTGATATCTACCGCATTTCTTAAGGCTTTCTGTCTGAGATTCAAATGTCAACAAATTGTCCAGGAAAGATACAAAGCTTCTTTTGTTCTCATTATTCTTAATGATAACAGCAGAAACACTTCTCAAATACTGATACTAAAAATGTTTTCTCTCATCGCCTCTGCTGTTGGTGATTTGACCAGAGGGATTCCTCATAGAATTAGCCCATGCGCATATGGTGTGAGCAAAACCTGCATTCCCGCTTCTACTTTCACATGCAGCCCATTGATTTCAGCTGCCTGGAAAAAGGTAGATGGTGTTCATGTTTTTTTAAATAAACGCAAATAATCCCCCACAAACTGATCTGGTTATAGTCCCAGATGAGGTATAGATTTCTGACAGCAGTGCACCTGCTTGGCAAGGCTTCTACCTCTATATTACATTAATAATAAAGACATGACAATACTTGCAGAAAAATTTCTGTCAAACCTCACAACATCATTCACTCAAGTAAATCATAAAAACATGTATAGGACATTTAAACAAATTTGAACAAATTATCACAATCCAGTCTCAAGTTGTCCATTGTAAACAAAAAAACCCACAGCAAAACATGACAAAGCAAACATATCCTTTTGCAAATGAACTGAGACTTTTTTTTAATTCTATATTTTAAAATAATGGCTCCTCTGCAATATCTTGTACACCCTGTTTCCAACTATACTATTGCAGTGAATTTCCCTTTTTACTGTGTTATTGCGTTGATGACGTCAGCCTTTGCAGGTGATGACATCAGCCTTAGCAGTGAAAGGCAGAATTTTGAAAAGAGATCGGGCAGTTAAATTGAGGAAAAATAAATCTGAAATTCTTGTGCTTTTAAATACGTTTGCTTTAAAGCCTTTTCTTGTAGAACCTTCTCCTGAAAACTAATACAATGTGTGAGCAGCTCTATTTTGGATGAGTCATCCCCATGACTTTAGTTGTAGTTCAGAGTCCTTCTCACCTTGCAGAGGCAGGGAGAAAGACAAGGATTATTTCATATAACTTGTGTATAAATTGCCTTATGTTTTAAATGAACAGATTTATAAAAATATTACATAGCACAGTCTGAGTTACCATTCTGGGATATAGAATTGTAAAATAACAGTAATGACTTTTGTTAAAACACTGCAAAAACTTGAAACTTGAGTCACATAAGCTAAATTTTTCATAATGTGAGCCATATAATAAAAGCCATCAAACTGGACTTAATTACATGAATGGCAAAATATTCAATTGCAGAGAAAGAAGTAACGGCATCACTTACCTCAAAACTTACGGATCCATTGTGATCAGTGTCAAATGCATTAAACAGAAAATGTGCATAAGTTGTGGAATCTACAATTTAAAACAGTAAAAATAATTCATAATAAGCACCTTTTATTTCATTTAATTCCATGAAAAAAAATGATACCAAGATATATTTTGATACCAAAATTTGATAGCAAGACTAAATTTTCAGTTCAGTTTAAACTTCTTTTTTTGTCATGGGAGGAGTGAAAAATTGTAAGTGCTAGTATGTGGGTAGCTACACTGTTAGGAACAGAAAATCTAAACCAGTGGTCTAGAATTTTCATTCCCATTTCTGCTAATCACTGATAGCTGAATGAATAGCAAAGAAGTCATGTCATTGTACTCCAAAACAACCCATGTTAATGGGAACGCTACTTTTTCAGTTAAATGACTGTGATAGGGGATCTATCTCATATGCTAAAAAAGAAAAATGTGTTCATTTGTTCACTTTAAATGAGGGAAGCGGACGCTACCATCTGTGCATCTGGCATATTGTTTTCACTCTGAAGACAGGCCTGTTACGCAGGTTGAAGCTGAGCTTGTCAGAAAGCTGCTGCTGCGCTCAGGTCGTATGTTCACCCACGGGTGAGAAGAAATCCTGTCCAGAGAAGCAGATTCTTGAAGATGGTTTGCTGCTTAATTTCCATGAACATTATATGAGGGTTAGGTGCTTAAAAAGAAAAACTGGCTGTGACCTTCAACAAAGTGTTCCTTTCACTAATCATTTGTATGCTTTTCAAACCTACTGACCAGTGCATATCGACTCGTTTTAGAAACACAAGACAGCACAAACATAAATCTGTCAAACCTCTAAGTTTTTGTAAAGATCCATCTTTCAATTTCCACTGAATGCCTTCCGAGAGGCACAACTGCTCCACGAGTAATAAATATACTGCGAAGAGAGAAATTCTCCAGGGACTGCCCTACTGCTGTCATCTACAAGCTGCTGGGATTGTGGGAAGTCAGCTTTCCCCAGTGTTTATTCCCTCTCTTAAAACCACGCAGATTAATATAGGCTGAGGTACTGTTTACTTTTAATACTCACTGCTTTGCTCTTTCTACTTCATGTATTTACATGAATTTTAGGTTAATTAACATTAACCTCACAAACTTTCAGTAAAGGGAGAAGTGTTATGACATCTGTGTGCCCCTTGCAGGACAAAACCCTCCCTACTATGGAAAAACCTCATCGGTGCTGAGATGTCTTTTTCTGATTTCTTGGCACTAAACAATCTTAGCTTTCATATTAATCCTGAAAACTGCTATTTGTCACAGCCCCAAATATTGTTTTGAATTAAACTGAGTGATAGTCTTGGGTCACTCACCTGAAATGCCACTTTAACCCCAAGGAACCAAATATACCAAAACTCAAGACTTTTTACTTCCCAAATTCAAACCTGCTATTACTAAGTCAAGTCTCTGGTCTTGCTTCAATATGTTAATTTCATATGATGTGAAATAATTGTAACATGAAAAAACTCTGCAACCTTTAAACCCTGTATCTGTCAATGCGTTTTCAGCGAATTATAAAAAAATCCCACTACTGAGACATTCACTCATTCATCCACGTATCCAGTCATCAGTGCAATTACTTAAGCATGGCCTAGCAGATGAATTCCCACTTAAACTGAAATTTGTAAATTTGTTGACTTCAGTTTATATTTAGGATTTTCATAGTCATATTTTCTATAATCCACTGAGACTTCTGTTGTGCAGCAGAATATACTACACAAATCATCTTCAGGGAAAAAACATACTATAGAGGTATAATTACTGTGAACTGAATTTTAAATAGCTTTCCATTCTCTTGGCATTCATTTCTTAAAAATGTGAGATATTCCTATTTATTTTCTGCAGATTTACAGAAAAAACAAAGGTTAACAGAAAGGTTTTTTACTGTCTGTTGCCTATTCATGATACAATGTACTACTCTTTTTGTATGATGATATATGAAAAAAAACACCTCTAGTTGAAAATTTTTTTATTTCTAGTAACTCCTGAAAAAAAAAATTCAGAGGTCATTCTCAGGGTTGTTTGTTCAGGCAATTCTGGTCTGAAATTTTGCCTTCAAAAACATGGCAGGATGAGGTATACTAGTCTTTTAATTAGAATTACTTAATGTGATTCCTCCCCTGCCCCCACCCCCCTAAATCTTGAACATTAGTCATGTTAGACAAAAGCTTAACTTTTTAAATAAAATATGTTTTCTTTTCAGGGATCTGATATCATAACTAGCAGGCTAAATTGATATTTTGACAGGTTGGGGCAGGAACAGATATTAAATCAGAGTTCCTTTGAAATACACCATTAGAGCATTTTAAACATCAGAGACAAAAAATGGTAGTCATTATACATCTGAGAGTATGCCTTATCAAACCATGGACATAATCTGTTCTGTTCGTAACTGAGGAGGAGTGTAATAATTATTCAGTGTGTGGATTCTTATGTACAGTCTGCTTGGCTGAAAAACAAATCCCAAAGTTGTATTTCAGGTGATCCATTGAATGAACAGAGACGGCCTATTCATTCACCTGCATGGCAGTTGTTTTCTAAAAGGAAGTTACTGTAGTGCCCTTCTGGCATGGAAAGCTTTTCACAAAGCTACTTCTGCCTTCCAAAACACATTGCTTTTACTGCAATCCAGTGTCATGTCCTGTACACTCTCGTGGCCCCCTTTTTCTGCTACCTCTGTACCTTGTCCTGGATAGTCTTGAAGGTCGCTTGATGAAGTGACTTGCTGGATGACATCAGAAAATGACTTTCTGGTGATTGCTTGGTCACCCTGAAGCTTAAAATCTACACATCATTCTGTTTGCTCAGATACAAATTGTTATAATGATCCATGACGTTGTATCTGGTTTTGCATTATGTAGACAACTGGGCTACAGATCTACATGTACGACACACGTTTTAATTTGGGGACAACTCAAACTTTTTTTTTTTATCCTTTAATATTCAGACCAGACATACATAAAACAGTGTTTTAAGTGCAACTTAAATTTAAAGGCCTCAGCTGCACACAATATTTTGGTAATACGTTCAAAGATTTAAGTATCCAGCCTGTCTGCTTAACTAGATACTGGAATATGATCATCTCATCCTGTTGTTAGCATGCAGGGATATGCAAATACAGACAACTAATTGGGCTTGGAAGATACCTTGGCTAGTGTGACGAACAAAGAACAGACTTTGGCTCCCATACCTCTCAGAAAATGGCAAAAATCAACACAGGCACCTACAAAATAGCACAAAACCTACACAAAACAATTCACGTCTCAGGGGGGGCACAGAAATTAAAGGATTACTGATGTGAGCTGTTACTCTTCCAAGGATATTCAGCTCTTCTGTTATTTCTACTGAATATTTTTCCTGAATTTTTGAGGAAAACTACATAAGGCTTTCACATTTATTTGTGCTGTCTTTTTGTACTGCCAAGGTTGCACACTTTTGTGTGGGGGCCATGGAGGATGGGGAGAGGAGGCTGATAGCTTCTGATGGTCACTTCTTGGTGCTCTTCGCCAAGATCTCTGGAATGGCTTTACTGAGATAGCTAAAAATGCTGTTACTAGTACACAACAACATCTGTTACTGATAAATGAATTATCTGGATTCGATACTTTTCTACCCTGCTAAAAATCTGACTTTTTACCTATTTACTAAAGTTAAAAGAAGCAAGGAGAAAAAGTGTTTGTTTTTTTTTTTCCAGAAAATTGTATCTCCCTGGTTGCAGATGGAGTAATGGCATTGTTGAAATTACAGGGAGTAGTGTAACCACATGCCTCCGTAATACAATATTGCCATTGCTACTAAGAAGCCACAAGTTTTAGGGGGACCTTGCCCCGGGATGGAGGCTTGCCAGCTTGCAGCTTTGTTTCCCATGGTTTAGCTGTGACAGCAGTCTCTCGGACTGGTTAAGTTTCTAAGACTGATTGATAGGTTTTACTTTTGCGGTGCAACTATAGCTTCATACAGATAGCAGAAACAGGCAGTTTTTCTATATAGCAATAGGTATTTATGACTGTAACATAATAATGCAGTGAAGAACTTTTTGCCTTGTATTCCAGCAGCGGCCTTGAGCAGCAGAGAGGCGGGATGCAGTGCAGAGGAGAGAAGGAGTGGGATGAGAGGGGATGGAGCACAGGCTGGCACTGCAGACCCCACAGCTATGAACAACTCACCCGTGGCCAGTTAAAGAAATGCAGGGGTGGAGCTGGACAAAAGTGGTTTTAGGCATAGGAAAGAGAACAAAGAAATAGTATCTAACATATGTAAAAGTCATTACCTAGAATAGATTTGGGTGTAATGTGGAGCTGCAAACCAACAGAGAAAAAGAAAGGTGTAAAAATGTGTAAGCAAACATGTAGAAACAATCCCAGGTGAAAGAAAGCACCAACATGACCATCCTCTTCCTCCTGGGGAAGGACTCCAGATGCTGACAGTCCACAGCAGTCCCCACCTCCTCCCCCAAATGATACCACTGCCCTAAAGGCCCAGAGGAGCAGCAGAAGGGGGAGCATTAACACCAGGAAAAGGGGTAGAATCTAAGAATTGAGTATATATCAATTTTAACTACAGTAATGTTCTTTCCTTTCTATAACAACTATTTCTGGACTAATAATGATTAGGTTTTTAAGATTACATTTATTCTCAAGATACATTTTAGCTTTACTTTTAGCAAAAGGTGTTCTTTCGCTTTGCCCATAAACAATTTTGAGTGTAACAATAGGAAATACCATAAATGTTTTTATTATTATTTTAAGTGTAGTAAAGGTGTAGTAAATCATATGCAGAGAATTATTTTCACTGTACAGGGTAACTCAAAAACATAATATCTGAACCTGTAATTGTTAGCCTGGTTTAAAAGCTTAGATATAGAATAAATCAGTAGGCAGGTGAACTCTTCTAGCCTTTCGTTCTTCCCTATTGAGTGTGCCTACTTGTCAAGGATTTCAGTGGTGTTAATCTATACTGAGTGCTGCTCTTTACCTTCTAGGTCTTTATTCAAGATAAAACTAATTGGAAGACATTTTGTTCCTACCAATTAAGTGTGGGGTTTTTTTTAAATACAAATGAGAAGAAAGAGCTATGAACAGTCCCAGGGAAACACACAAATCTCAAGAGCCGTGGGAGAAGATGAAAAGGCAGGATTGAAGAGCTGTAGGAGAATATGAAGAGGGAGGACTGAATGGTAAAAGCAGGAGAAAGAAGAGAGACGAAAACAAGTCAAATTAAAAGAAAATCCTAGGCTCAAGGCAAAAAACTATTACGCATTTTTGTGTTACCTTCATTGCACTAACAGATAATGAAGATAAATAAATTAATGAAACCTCTGCAAATAAATTAATTGAAATTAAGATTAGCCAAAAAATCCCTCATTTAAGTAGAGAAACCCCATAGAAGTCAAAGGCGTTCCGCCATCGATATTAGAGGGTACCTGTAGTGCCTCCTACAGTTTTCATTCCTACTGTGAAAGGTTTTGTGGAATAAAGGAGAATGGGGAGTGCTGTGTAGAATGTTTAAAAAGAAACAACCTACTCAGAGAAACCTGGTTTTCAAAGGTAGTAACTTTGTAATAGAAGACTGACTTCATGTAGATATCATTGCATTTCATTCAGAAATATATATTTTTAAATGTGCACAGCCATCAAGGAAGTATCCCATGAGTTCAGACACAGCTTGAGACAACAATCTTGTTAATTTGAACAACAGGCTCCTTCATCAGACTTAGCAACTAACAAACATAACTCTGTTCACTGTAGTACTTTACATCAGCCAAGTACTCACCTCCCTGTGGAAAGAACTGAGAGTAAATCTCTTTGAAGGTTTCTTCATTGACAACGCCACTAGGGCAT